CGGGCCTGGGCCAAGCCCGGCCACTTAGTGACCCGCCCGGGTAGCAGCTTTTCCTCCGGGAACCTAAGTTTGCCAAGAACTCCAAACTTAGGACGAGCGCGAGGAAGCCAAAATGTTGGATGTGTTTGCTGCCGAGCTCGACAGGGGCGGCGACCATTTCAGGGAACTGGGGAGTTTGCCCCTCAGAGGTGGGCTCGCAGCGGGCCCACGGCGCGGAGCCGCGGCGGCCAGGCCGTCGACGCTAATTACGGTGATTAATAAATTATGTCCCGGACCGCGCGCTCCTCCTGCGTTGCGGGAGCTGGGCCCAGGGCCGAGCTCGCCCCCTGCCGGCCGCGTCGGGAACTCCCGCGTTCCCTGGCTCCTTGGCCCCGGTTCCCTCCGGTTCTTCCCAGGCTGGGATCAACTGGCCTCCGCCCGCTCGAATCTAGGGCGAGCGCTGTGCTGGAGACCCCAAGGCAGCGAGAATGGGGACCTGGGCAATGTGCGTGCGTGTGTGAACTCAGGTGCTGGGGAGAAGCCCCAGAGCCCCATTAGCATGACCGTTAGCTATTCATTAGCTTCTGTTGAAGCCTCTCCTGAGACCCCTAATGACAGGGAGAAAATTCCAGGGAAACAGAGCCTGCAGATGTGTCTACAGGAATTAGGGGCAAAGGGCCGGCCAGCAAGGTGTGCTGTGCATGGAGGGAACCGGGAGAAAGATGGGGAATGAGCCGGGATTCTCCCACCTCCCGACTTCCTAGATTCCCAGGAGGTTAAGCACAGAGCCCTTCTTACAGGTGCCCCAAGCAGGCCTCTGCTCGCCTGGCGCTCTCACGGAGTGTTTTCACTCTACACTGTCTCAGTGAGGTTTGTAGCGAAGAAATCGATGGTCACATCTGCGGGGAGGAAACATTCAGAGGGGATGGACAGTACCCCAGTGGTCACAAAAGCACCACAAGGTTTGGCAATAACGGACCTGCCTATTTCCATTACACCCGATGGTTATGTGAAGGGCAAAGGGGGAATATTGGGGGCTGGTAGATTCTGATTCAGGTACAGACTGTAGGACCCGAGATAAGGTCAGGTGGGCGGGAGGAAGAACGCTTAAGTAACCTTCATCCAACTTCATCCAAACTTCATCCCCAAGTGCTTTGCATACACGACGGTCTTGTGACAGCCCTTATCACTGCTCCCACATTACAGATAAAGAAGCTGAGACTCAGAGAGGTTCAATTATTTGCCCAGATTCTTACAGCAGTTACTGTCGAGTCTGAGATTCCCGCCCTAGTTGGCTCCAGCCAACCCCTGAGCTCTTAACCATAACAGTGCTGCTCACCGCCGGACCTTTGCCTAAACTGGGCCTGGGATGGGATGGAGGAGAGCTGGGTGAGGATCAGAAGTTTCCATCCAGAAGGGAAATCGAGAAAATTACTCCCTTCCCTAAGTGGGAGGGAAAGGAATCTGTCTGTCCCTGACCCCTTCAATGCGCTCTCACCAGAACACCACCCCCACAGGCAACCCACCCGGCTCCCTCGCCATCGCCATCGGAACTTGTAAGAGTAGGCGCGGGAAGGGAAACCCAACCGCACACCGAGGCTGGAAGCAGAGGTCCCCGGGGATCAGAGCGGGAGAAGCGGAGTGGGGGCGGGGAGGTGCGGGACAGGAGCGGGTTCCATAGGTCGCGGTTAGGGAAGGACAGGATTCCGTGAGGCTGCAGCGGCGCCTACTGGCCGCCAGGGGTCACAAAGCCACTTTGGATGAAGCTGGGGGATCGGAGCGGGACGGGCTCCGGGCTCCGGGCTCCGGGCTCCAGGCTCCCAAAGCACTACCGCACCAGACCAGCGAGCAGAAGTCTGTAGGCCGAGGGCGGGGCAGGCGCAGAACCTGTGAACCGAGCAGACAGAACCAGGGAAGGAGAGGAAGTCCTTTCTCAGTGGTTCTCAGCCTTTCTTGCCTATGCCATTCTGAGAACAATCTGCTGGAACCTGTGCCGCTCAGAGAGTTACATTTCCACTACCGATTCCGGTGACTTCACAGGACCCCGAAACATGATTGGGGTGTCAATTGAAGGGCTCAGGCCCGTTCATGGCTCCCGGGCCCCGCCCATCACTCAGGCCTTTCTTGCCCCGAGGCACCCAAGGCCTGGCCACATTCTCCATGTCGCTGCCCCGGGGACCGCGCTCAGGCGAGGAACCCAGCGTTCGCCTTGGTGCCCCGCCTACGGAACAAGGACATCTGTGAACGAGTGCGGACGGGGCGCGGGTGGCCCTTCACTCCCCACTAGACCTGGCAGGAGAGGAGACAGGTGTCCCGATGCCTTGGCTTATGTGCCCATCTGTAGGCACCTCCTTTGGAGCCCAAGAACGTGGGGCTCTTCCCAGAGATTCCGGACCCTACAGAGAGAGGCGGGGTGCTTTTTCTCTCTGGCGCCCCCGTGTTTCTCCGGCTTCCCCGTCTGAATGCTCTGCGTCCCTCCCATCCTCCAGGGTCGAGGGTCGGGCCGGAGGACGCGATGCCGCGCATCGTGGAGCAGCCGCCAGATCTGCTGGTGTCCCGAGGCGAGCCGGCCACGCTGCCCTGCCGTGCGGAGGGCCGGCCCCGGCCCAACATCGAGTGGTACAAAAACGGGGCGCGCGTGGCCACCGCGCGCGAGGATCC